GTCTTATTCCATTTAAAATCTGCCAATATTAAAGTGATGCTACAATGTGGGACCTTTTTATGAAAACATGTGATCATTTAGGTGTACAAGTACAAAATGATTTCTTCATTTCACTCTGGCACAGTAAAGCAGGTAGCAGTAATGTCAGCAAGAAGACTGAGTGACATTTCCATAACAGAAATCAATTTAAAGTAACCTTTAAACTGACATTATGTTTAACGCAATAGACAAATAAAATACCATATACTCATGTCACATAGATGGGTAAAACATAAAGACAATCCTGAATTACTTCAATCAATCATATTGTTAAAACTGTCGTCCTACAGTGTTGTCACAAACTCAAAGTATAATCATTAAATTGAGAGCGTTTTCATCGTTAAGCGGAAAAGCTTTTAGTTTTACAAGGAGTGCATCTGTTCAAACTCTGAACTTGTTGATCAAAGTCTGTACAAATACATGTGTGAAAGAAAGAAGTGATTCTCTCCATCAGAGAGCTGAGGCTGATCTTACAGCAGCTGCTCACAGCCTTGTCCCACCTGAGAGCCAGTTGAAGAGTACATGCAGAGCTCAGACCTGGAAAGAAGATAGTTGTGGTCTTCACCAAATAAAAGTAACAGACAGAGACAGCAAATCCATGTTTTTTTGGTTTTGTTTTTTCCGGAATAAAACAAGAAATCCAGTATTTTTGAGGAAATATTAGCTTCAGATGCTTTAATTCTTTACTTAGATGTTTAAATTAGTAGAGAAAAGAAAATAAGAGAAGAGAAGATGGAGGAACGCAAGCGCACTGCCCATGCCCCACGACACCTCAATGGTGACTGCGTTGAAAAGGTGGCGTCATTTAAATTCCTTGGGGTACACATCTTCAAAGATGTCACTTGGCCCACCAACACTAAAGCAATAACCAAGAAGGCCCAGCAACGACTACACTTCCTGAGAATTCTCAGGAAAAACCACCCGGAACAGAAGCTGCTGGTGTCCTGCTACCGGTCAGTCACTGAAAGCATACTCACCTTCAGCATCACAGCTTGGTATGCGGGATGCTCGGCAGCAGACAGGAAGGCTCTGCAGAGGGTCATAACCACAGCCCAAAAGACCATAGGCTGCCCTCTGGCCTCCCTGGAAGAGCTCGCTGACTCCCGCTGCCTCTCCAGGTCCAGGTCCATTCTCAAAGACTCCGCCCACCCAGCCCACCACCTGTTCAACCTGCTTCCCTCCGGCAGGCGGTTCAGCTCAATAAATGCTCGCACCACCAGAATTTCCAACAGTTTTTTCCACTGGGCCATATGCTCAACAATATCCCTCTGTAGACATTGGCCATCCACCACCCCAACACCCTCCCCTCCTCTCGTCTGCCATGATCAACTGTATCTTTGGACATTGTTGCATTTGAGCACTTTATCACTAGGCACTTTACAGTCTGCTGCTGCTATGGTTGCTATGCTACTATACTTGTGTGCAGGAGAGAGTCTTGTTTTGTCTGGGAGGTAGGGGGGATTAGCATATTGTGTGGGGGGTGTAGTGTATGGACTTGGGTGAGAGTGTATGAGTAAGAGAGAGTGGACTGCCCTTGGGGCTGGGTGAGAGGGTGTATGAGAGAGTATGAAGGGAGTTTCTTCTGTCTGTTTATGTATTTATTAATTTTTATTAGTCTCAAGCACTGACCAAAAGTGACAACTCTTAATTCATTGTGTTTGATACGATGTATTTTATGCAATGACAAATAAAGCTTCTATTCTATTCTATTCTATTCTATTCTATTCTATTCTATTCTATTCTATTCTATTCTATTCTATTCTAACATCAACAGCAAATAACAATAAACAACAAAACAAAAACAGAAAAACAGTCTGATGTAACACTGAGAAAATAACTCTGAAGAATAAAATAGTGATGAGTCATGACTCGTGCATCAGTCCTGTTCATTGAGTTCTTCTCGTGTCTGTCTTCAGCCTCCTTCTCTCTTCACCAGCTCTCTGTATTTCTATGGACCTTTCCAGTCTCTGCTGTTCACCACCTGACCAACAGACGTCCTCACACTTTCCCTCCAGTCTCCTCCACCCACCTGATCACCTGCTCCTCATCCTCCAATCAGCCCTCAGGACTTCAGCCATCACTTCCACCTGCTCCCTGCCAGGTCCTCAACTTGTCTTGTTGTCTTTGTTGTCCACTTGCTTTCTGTCCATCCAGCTTGTCGTCTGTCTCTGTATCTGAACCTTTCTGCCTCTAGTCCTTTGTCATCATCATGTTCACCTTCAACTTACTTCACTGCACCTGCCTCCCTGACTGTTTGAATTGGAGTCCTGTCCAGTCGAAGAAACTCTCCTTCATTAACATGTCAATGAAAACTGACTGATTAATTCTGCTGAGGAAGATCAGTGAAAGCTCCCCAACTGCTGTTTCCAACATCACACTGCAAATGTTTTTTAGTGAGGACAATGAGAGAGGAAAGGGGGGAGAAGAATGGGGAGAGACTTTGTAGTAGACTGTCGTGAGCAGGAATCTGACTCACGACCACCGCGCCGGGGAATTACATCCCCTGTTCATGCGTCGCCCGCTCAACCAGGTGAAATATAGGGGCGCCTGAACATTTTTATTCTTGATTAAACTGGCTTTGAGAAATTATACCTCAACAATAAGAAAAATAATAAGCTAAAAGTAGCTTAGTACAAGACACAATTTCTTCAAAAAGGATTTGAAAGACAAGCATTCTTCATTTTTTCATTAAAGCCATTCAGGACAGCTGGAAGTTTGACATCACTCAAGTCAAATAATGACATCAGAAATCCTGCCACTCTCAAGAAGTGCATTTTCCAACTACTTTAACATAGAACTGTGTAACATTTTTACTGTCTAAAGTGAGTATATCAAAATATTTTCTATATTTTAACAAAATACAACATTGCAACTGTCAAAAAGTGAATATGCCCTAATCTTATTCTAACAGCATAACAATATTCGAGAAACATTCTAGTTGCCAGTGTCAAAAAAAATTCCAGCAGCAAACAGATGAATTCAAACTATAATTGGTGCAGTTTCTTAAATTGAGAACTTTAGCAATTTGTTTTACTCTGAAAATAAGAAAAACAATCTTGTTCCTCTGCTGGGATTTAATGTGAGCCATGTGAACCACCACATTGTTGCTTGTTACTAGTAATTCTAGCTCAATTTAAGCTGTAAAATCTTAATAAGAAAAAGTTAGATATATTTTCTTAAAATTAGACAAATTTTCTTCAGCAAAAAACTTGCTTGTCAAGATTATTTTACTTTTTGGACAAAAAAATAAGAACAATTTCCCAGAAACAAGACTTTTTTTACTTTCTCAAAAATCCTTTTTTGCAGTGCAGGAATTAACCTTCTGTCTCCAATTCTTTACAGATTATTGTTATCGTATGATTATATTTTGCACATCAACTGTGTCTTTTGACTGTTCATGATTACACTTGATACTAAAATGTCGTTTTCATTTTTTACACTCATACATTTTAAATTATATTTTACAGTTGCTTCATAGTTATAAATCAGTGTCAATCTTAGGTCAAAGGTCATGACAGTTTATTCTCATTAACTGGACCACACGGACTTGTCTCAGTTATTTGGCCAATCAGAAAAGAAAATATGATCATAATGAGATTAAAATGGATGATGAGAAGCAGTCATGAAAAATGTCTTTTTAAATCTTCTTGTGAACGTTGTCTATTTGTGTGTGTGTGTGTGTGTGTGTTTGTGTGTGTTCAGTGAACTGTATCAGTCAGTTCAGTTTCTGTTCAGTCTGACTGAGGGAGGTTTTTGTGCGACGCTTTTTCACTGTGTGAACACATACTGACTGTTGATGTAATGTTGACTCTGACAGTAATAAACTGCTGCATCTTCAGTCTGGACTCCACTGATGGTCAGAGTGAAGTCAGTATTTCCAGAGTACGTTCCACTGAAACGATCAGAAACTCCAGACTGACGGCTTGAACTGCAGGTAATGAGGAGTTTAGGAGCTTCTCCTGGTTTCTGCTGGTACCAGCTGAAACAGTAACCAGTACCTGGACTGACTTTACATGTGATGGAGACTGTCTGTCCTGGGACAACAGACTGAGATCCAGGAGACTGAGTCACCATGATTTCTCCTGATGAACCTGAAAACATGAAAAAGAGGAGAAGAGTTACTGAGACTAATCCAGCTTGAAGAAAGATGATCAGCATTCAAACAGAAGAGCATCATTTCTTTAACATGTACAACAGACAGAAGAAGCTCAATGCTGCTCGTTTCAGTGTTTCTCCATCACAGCAGAACATGATTGTGGTGAAGCTGCTGCATCCATTCAGCAGAGTCTCACCCTGAACAAGAAGCCCCAGGGTGGCCAGCAGTAGAGTCACCAACATGATCGCTGTGCTGCCGGTGTGTCGGAGTCTCTGAAAGGCCTGAACAGACGCTGATCAACGCTGAGCTCTTAACGTCTGGAGCACAGAGGCAGGACACATATGCAAACACACAGAGTCAGCCAGCTGCAGCTGTCCTCAACACATCACGCTGCTTCCTGCTCACTGCTCAGAGCTTTGACTACTGCACTGATCCATCATCTAACGACAGACGATGTGTGGGAGAGAACTTCATCTCCACTGAGGAGGAAGACGAGATGTCCGTTATGTTCTGGAAGAATGTAGAGGTTTGTGAGACAGAAACAGTTTCAGTATCGACCCAAAATCCCCCCAAAGCTTTCATTTTATGTTCACCTGTTTTTTAATTCTTTTTCTTTTCTAAATAATATACTGTGTAAAAACTGCCCCTTATGACCAAAAGTACTCTCATTTAAATGAACGACACCACCACATATTTTATCTGGAAACCGAACTTTAATATTGAGACAGACTTTTTAACATTTTAAGTCAAATTTATTTTTTTTGATCAGTCCTGTTGTCAGAAGTTGTCAAGTCTGATGTCAGTGACCTCCAGTTCCCAACAACAAAGAAATACACGGCAGCACCAATAATAATTACATTAATTGTAGTAGGAATGACCCAACTAGCTGACTTTTGCATTTCTTTTGTTAATCTGTCACGGTGGGCGATCAGGGAACCCAGGTGCAGACACAGATACAGGCAGGTGAATTAAACAAAGGAGTCAATTAAATGGCAATTAAACAGAAACCAGTGTAGAGGGGGGAAGCAAAACTGACGGCGAACACATAACCGGGAAAACCAGACTGAAATCAGAAAATAGGCAAAATTACAAAGACCTATGGAAAACTCTAAATTAACACCAAGAGAGAAACCTCAGGAAAGTAATGTGAATAAAGTAAAACTAGAACAAAACGGAGATACTCACAAAACACGATACAAAAACTAAAGGGGGCAGACAGACTCGGGAAATCTGGGGTCTGGTGAGGGTTGGAATAATCTGGAGCGAGGCTGGGGGCAGGTACAGGCTGGAAACAGGTTGGACACCAGAGGCAGGAGAAGGCTGGCTGGGGGAAGATCTGGGTGGAGAGTATGTTGCTGATGCAGGGGGGTTCAGGTCACAGTGGCTCAGAGATGGAGGGCAGGAGACAGAACGGGGACCAGCAGAAACACAGGATGAAGGTCTATGGTCTGGCAGAGTGTGGAGGAATCAACTGGTTTTTAAAGGAGCTGTGATGATTAGGCTCAGGTGAGCTGATTGTCACACTTGTCTCCATTAGCTGTAATGTAACAACAATATATGTAATATAATAGGGAGACAGGCAAGGGCTGAGGCTGGGGATCTACTTCTACAAGATTCCAGATTCTGAATCAGTGACATGATTCAATTCAATTCAATACTAAGGAATTACAAATGTCCAGTCTAGAAGTTATAAATGCATGGACTAGTTACTCAGCATCACTCTTGAGACAGGATGTTTCTGATTTTTACAATATTATGTAAATGAAAAAAGAATGTCCTACAAACTTGTATATATGGCTATTGAACGACATGTCCTAGTCAAAAAACAACTCCAAGGTTCTTTACAGTAGAACTGGAGGCCAAAGCAATGCCATCTAGAGTAGCTATCTGGTTCGATAGTGCATTTCTGAGATGTTTAGGGCCAAATACAATAACCTCAGTTTTGTCTGAATTTAAATGAAGGAAATTACACGTCATCCTGGAGTCTTACCAACTGATTGGTTTCATTTAGCTTCATAGATGAATATAGCTGGGTGTCATCTGCATAACAGTGGAAATTTATGCAATTCTTCCTAATAATATTGCCTAAAGGGAGCATGTACAAGTTAAAGAGGTCCGAACACAGAGCCCTGTGGAACTCCATAACTAACTCTACTGTGGGTGGGAGAATCATCATTAACATGAACAAACTGGAATCTGTCTGATAAATATGATTTAAACCAATTTAGTGCAGTTCCTTTAAGCCCAACTAAACATTCCAGTCTCTGTAATAAATTGTAACGATCCACTGTATCAAATGCAGCACTGAGATCCAGCAGAACCAGTATAGAAACTAGTCCACTGTAAGAAGATCATTGGTGACCTTCACCAGTGCTGTCTCTGTACTATGATGCAATCTACAACCTGGCTCAGATTCTTCAGACAAACCATTTCCATGCAGATAATCACACAATTGGCTTGCAACAACTTTTTCAAGGATTTCAGAAATCAAAGAGAGGTTGGATGTGGGCCTATAGTTTGCTAAAACGCCTGGAACTAGAGTAGGCTTTTTGAGCAGTGGTTTTATGATAGCGACGAAGCCTGCTATATGTAGCCTGTTAATATAGAGAAGTTGATGATATTTAATATTGTAGTATTTATGAGAGAAAAAAATTCTTTGAACAGTGTAGTTGGGATTGGGTCTAACAGACATGTTGCTGGTTATGAAATATTTACTATCGATGTGAGCTCTGAGAGATTTACAGCAGAGAAGCAGTCTAAGTATAAATCTGGTCCTATGGATTCATCCAGAGCTGCTTCACCTACAGACATGCTAATAATTTTTTGTCTAATATTCAAAACTTTATCAATGAAGAAGGTCATAAAGTCTTTACTGCTGAGCGCTAAAGGAACACAAGGCTCCACAGAGCTGTGTCTCTTTGTCAGCCTGGCTACAGTGCTGAAAAGAAACCTGGGGTTCTTCTTGTTTTCCTCAGTTAAGGATAAAGAGTAAACAGTTCTTGTCTTGCGGATCGCTTTTTTGTCGGCGAGGAAGCCATCTTTCCAGGCTAAATTAAATTCTTCTGAAATGGTAGAACGCCACTGTCTTTCAAACCTTCTTAATTTCTGTTTCAAGATGTGAAGCTGTTGACTATACCATGGAGCTATTTTATTGTACTTTATTGCCTTCTTTTTCAATGGGGCAACAGCATCAATTGATGAACGCAGTAAAGCTGCAGTTCTATCAACAAGATTATCCACCTGTGTGGGACGAAGATTAGAGGAAGTGTTCTCCGTTGTGGGTTGTGGTGGCATATGGCATTGAAGTAATTAATGATGGAACCGTTTCCTTAAATTTAATCACTGCATATTCGGATAGACATCTACTGTCATGGAAGTCTTTGCTAGGTGTTCCATAGTCCATTATTGTAAATTCAAATGTTATTAAAAATGATCAGACAGGATAGAGTTTTGTTTAAAAACAGTAAGATGTTCAATTTCTATGTCATATGTTAAAACAAGATCAAGGGTGTGATTAAAACTGGTTGGTTTATTTACATTTTGAGAGAAGCCAACTGAGTCTAACAATGAACTAAATGCAGAGTTGAGGCTGTCGTTCTCATCATCTACATGGATATTGAAGTGACCCGCTATAATGACTTTATCTGTCCTGAGCACTAAGTCAGCTAAGAACTCTGAGAATTCAGATAGAAACTCAGAATAGGGGGCCTGTGGCCGATATAATACAACTAGCACAACTGGTTTTTGTGCTTTCCAATTCAAGTGAGTGAGACCAAGACTAAGGCTTTTAAACGAACTATAACTAAGTTTTGGTCTCTGGTTAATGAATAGGTTTGAGTGGAAAACTGCTGCCACTCCTCCCCGTCTGCCTGTACTTCTAGCTATATGAAAGTTAATATGGCTGGGGGGAGTTGATTCATTTAGACTAACATATTCTTCATGCTGCAGCCAGGTTTCAGTCAGACACATTAAGTCAATATGATGATCTGTTATTAGATCATTAACTAAGAGAGACTTAGATGACAGAGATCTAATATTTAACAGTCCACATTGAATTGTCCTGTTTTTTGATTCTGATGGAATTGTATTAATTTGGAGAAGGTTGTTATGAACAGCCCTTCTATTATTAAAGTTAGACTGATAGAACCTGGGTGGTTGGGGGCAGACACAGTCTCTATCGGATATTGGGAGGGTGACAGCCATAGAGAAGCAGCAGAGAAGCATGTAAGACTGCAACTCTGCTTCCTGATGAGCATTAACAGTAAAAAGTTCAAGCTTTTATTCATTAATGTTTCCTGTAATATTGTTGTTTAATCCATACTCAAATTTCTGTGTGCGAAAAACGGGATGAAAGTGGTTCTATGGGCAATTTAAAAAAAATACCAACAAAACTGAAAATACTTAATTTATCAGTTTAAATGTCCAACACTTTCATAATGTAGAATGTCTAGAACCTATAAAATAGGAATGAGAGTCAGAAAACCAGCTTCAACATCAGCACTCATTAACTTCTGAATGATATAACGATGAGTGTTTTCAACAATATATTACAATATCATCAGCATACAAGCTTATCTGAAAATGTTGTGAATGATGCCTGAGATGCTGATGGACTGGACAACCAGTGTAACAATGAGGTTATTACTGTTATTATTA